TTACTAAACAATTTTTCAGTGGTGATAGTTTGACTGCCAATTACACTCTATGCAACACTTAATTTAATTTTACAACAATTTTTGAATAGAGCAAAGCTTTTTTCTGGTGGTATTTCATAACCACTGGGTCCGCCCACACAGCCACTTTATCCATTCAAAGAGATCTGTATATGGGGAAACCAAAAGCCCCATCTGCAGAAGGACTTGTAGTTCTCAATGGAGCACAAGTGCAGTGATGTCACCACACTAGTTCATTGATAGTTCCTTCAGCCTCTTAACAGAAGGTCCAAACCTCAAAACCAAGCTGCGGCCTATTAGCCTGTAAAAACCTGCATCTGCAGTTCACTGATCACAGCTACAGTGCTTTGCAGGCTCAACTGCAAAAAAATAAAAAATGCACCTTATTTTAATTAAAGTGGGTGCGTTCATATTTTGTTCTGCAAATTGTGGCATATGCCTTTAAATGAACAGATAATACACAGAGGGCAGAAGAGGCGATCGGGTTAATGTACCTGTAACATACAGTAGTAGGATAGAGATGAGGGAGTTTAAGGTGCATATGTGCAGGATAAAGGAGGTGAAGGGGTTAATATACAGGTCACATAGAAACATAATGTAGGGTTACAAATTATCTCACAATCAATGAATAACATGAATATCTGCTGCTGCCTGATCTGCAATTAATGAATTTTTCAGCCATTAGTTCTTCCTCCTTCCCTTTCCTTGGTTGTAAAAGAAAAGGTGGGTCCTCAGATGTAAACACTACACTGTTTACATCTGTGACTGTCATGATTGGTAATAACTCAGATCAGCTCTGTACATTGTGCCTGTGATGTGAGCCATGCGAGGACGGTTCACTTCACAGTCATTTACAGGTGCACTGGCAGACCAAGAGTTATTCTGGCCTTGCACATACAAATGCCAGTGCATCCAACACTTCACCGTTTATGCTACATTCACATGTGTCACAATTTCAAGCGTTTTTGAGCATTCTTTGAAGCAGAAAGGCAAGTTTTTGCAGCTTTTGTCAGGCATTTTTTTCAAGCGTTTTTAAACTGGGCAGTTTTTATGTGGTCAATGGAAAGCTGAAAACAGGGCTGAAAGCTGCTGCTTGAGCAGAAAATGTGCAACAAAAAACTCGAAAAAATGCTCAGGTCGTTCTGTTCAGACGCTTCCTTGAAGTCTATTGGGACAAAAATGCTAAATTCTACTGAAAAGTAGCACAGGCATTTTGTTACAACCGACAGAAAACACAGATGTGAACAAGGGCTATAGAAAAGATAGGTTTTTGCTTGTTGAGTGTTTTTGAGCTAAAAGCTACAAAACGCTCAATTGTGAGTGGGGCCTTAAAAAGACATTTGGCAGTGATAAAGTGGTTAAATAATTTCAATGTAAACAATATCAGGCCTGCTCCTGGGAGCTCAAAATTTGACATGGACTCCTAAGGCACAAATAAAGCAAATGCCTGAGGCTACATTCACACCTAAGTGTCATGTTTTCCAGCATTTTTTTAGGGCCAGTTCACACTATGCCCTGATCTGAATCACATAGGAATGCACTGTGCATTCCTGTGCGATTCATATGCGGGTCTATGCAGTGCGATTTCAAGCCCATTCATTTGAATGGGCTGAAATCGCACCACTCTAAAAGTAGTGCATGCACTACTTTTTTAAACGCACAGCAACTGCATCGAATGGTACTTTGCACCATGTGGTTTGGTGCGGGCCGGTGCGGGCAAACGCAATGCGTTTGTGACCAGCGTTCCGGGTGTCATTAACTTTAACTGACCCCCACAGCAGATCACAAGGGCATTGCTATCGGAATGCGGTGCAGGAAGCCGCACAGGAACGCTGTTCTCCCACACCGTATTCTAGTGTGAATGAGCCCTTAGTGTTTCTTGGAGCAGAAATGCACTTTTTTGCAGCTTTTGTAAGGGTCCTTTCACACAGCGCGGACCCGTTTAGTGGATCCACTTGCTCAGTAGGGGGTCTCTCCGCTGATCCCTGCTGAGTAAGCAGATGACAGGTCTGTGTCTGCTCTGCTGCTGCAGAGCTGACACAGAGCTGCTCGCTCTCAATGGGTGGTTGGATGAAAACGGACCACCTGTCCATGTCCATCCAACCCAATCCAATGGATGGAAGGGGAATTGGATGCCCATCTGTCCATTTTTTGTGGATCGGATCGCACCGGATGTTGGCGGGTGTAAACAGACACATATCCATTTACAACCGCCACTCCAAAGAGGAGAATGGAGGTTTCAATCAAGTCCGCCTTAAAAAACCAACCAGGCAGATCCAATCGGAATGTCCATCTGAAAGAGGCCTTAGACTTTTTTAAACTAAAAGGTGTGGAGTGCTGCTTAAAAAGGGGAGGAGAGCTTCTGTTTGAGCTGAAAACATGCAACAAAAAAAATGCTCAAAAAAACTCATGTTGCACTTTTCAGATGTTTCCTATGAAGTCTATGGGGACAAAAACACTCAATGCTGCCTGAAAAGTAGTGCTACAAGACGATCAGATGTGAACAAGGGCTATTGAAAACAAAAGGTTTTGCTTTCTGTATGTTTTTGTGCTTTGAGCTACAAGCTACAAAATGCTCAAGTGTGAACAGAAACTGAATCTTACCAGCTTGGAAAAAAAAGCTGAGTAAATTGAGCATTATTGCAAATAATATTTAATTGAGCCTTATATTTGAAACCATCTGAGGAAAGAACTGATGCATGGGGTCAGTTGAAAAATCTTTTGGACTTCATAAGGCTTTAATAAATAAGAATGCACGTTATTAACTATTACAAAAATAAAATCCAGCTGCTTTCAATATTGTTGAATAATTATATATAAAAGAGGTGTAGCGCTAAAATCCATATAAAGCAACAAACATATGCCGATATGTCCACATATATTGTAAACGTATGTAAGCCCATAAACGGATGAAAGTCTGATAATACAGCGGATGAACTTGTGATTCCAGCCAAAAGTGAAAAATGCGCACTCACCGGAAGCGCATAGATAATGCGCATATGTAATAATCCGCAAGGTACACTGGTCTCTCCGGTGAACTTTTCCTATATATGTGGACATATCGGCATATGTTTGTTGCTTTATATGGATTTTAGCGCTACACCTCTTTTATATATATTTATTACTGTACAGTGATTGGTACCTCTTGGTGTTTTAGCAGCTATTTATAGGAGCACTCACTACTCATATTTTTTGATTGTTGAATAATTGCCAGCCACCTAAAGAGCCTCAGTACTAAAGAGGTACAAGTTGTTACAATCTGCTACCTGATATATGCAGTACCACTCTATACAGCACCGTGAAAAGTCTGAAAGGGGCTAAGAGGTTAATGAAGCTCTAAAGACAAACCTCTCAGTTTAGTATGGTTAATAGCAAGTTGAATCACATTTTGGCCTTTTACCTCTCAGGAACCCCATTTCCTAGCACCTATTTCTAGTTCTGCCTACTGCCCAGGCTATTGGAAAGCAAACCGATTGCAACTAAATTTCCACTGGATTCTCGGAAAAGTCAGAAAATAAGTTGGAAATGCAGGCAAAAGAGAATGTCAGCCTTAGGGGGCAAAGTGGAGAGACAAAAATAGTGGAGAAATATTGTCACTAGAATTTCTTACAGACCCCTAAATGTGAATAATTGCAGTCACGGGAATCCACAACATGCTAACATATTTGTTTTAGGCAGAGTTTCCTTTCTAATGACAACTCCCTATGGTTGGCAACACAGGGGCTCAGGTACGTGAAAAAAAAAATTGTTTGTTGCCCTTAACTGCTCTTCTCTCATCTAAGATAATAAAAGGAGATTTTTTTTTATTTTGTTTAATAAGGGCAACAAAGAACAGATCTACCTTTAATAAATAGGGCCCTTTCTATATGGGGTTTATTTTCCCTCCATAAAAGACATACTGTATATGTAGAAATGGATAATGAACATAATTTATCTTCCTCAGTTGTTGCAACATAAGAGTTTTAAAGCGGAACTCCACCAAAAAGGCGAAGTTCCCCCTTAAGGCCTGCTCTTGTTTTTGAAATGGAGCTTTTGGGGAGAAGGTGGGAGCGGATACATGATTTGACACGTATCGGCTCCCACTTCCGCTCTGACCACCTAGGAGGAAGTCACCAACCCACCCCCCCCCCCCCCCACACCCCCAGTCTTCTGGGAAACTTGACATGTCCCAGAAGATTGCAGAACCATTCACGGTGTGCAGCGCTGCTTGCAAATGTAAAGTGGGCACCCAGCTGCGAAGCTGCAATCTGTCAAAGCTGGTTGCCCATAAAAAAGATGCCAGCGCCGGTGAGAGAGGGCACAAAGTGCAAAGTAGGCACTCAGCTGCGAAGCTGTAAGCTGTCAAAGCTGGTTGCCCATAAAAAAAATGCCAGCGCCGGGGAGAGAGGGCACAAAGTGAAAACGGCTGTGCCAAGCACATTGCTGGATCGTGGGAGAGGTGAGTGGCTGTTTATTAAACATCAGCAGCTACAGTTTTTGTAGCTACTGAGTTTACATTTTTACACAGAGACTGGAGCTCCGCTTTAATGATGAATTTATGATGTAATCACTCCAATATTTTTGCACAAGTTTCTTACCTAAAACATAATTTATCAGTGAGCACTAAATAAAAATAAGAGTGGCTGTAGCAGGTGGGTGGAATTTAGGTGCAGACACCTCTCTGCCAGAGACCCTGAAAGAAACCAGGGTCTATGCAAAACTGAATTACAACTTCTGTGTGGACTCACCCTGTAGTTAACAGTGCAGGAAACCAAGTCCTAAAAGTGGGAACCCCCTTTAAACAAAAGCAGTACAAGATAACAAGAGTCTAGACAACACAAAGACAGCTAAAAAAACACACTGCCTTCCCCTTGTGCAGTTGAAAAGATTTGCAGCAGAACAGGCACTAGTTTTAGTTTTAGCTTTAGCTTGAGTAAGTTACAGCCCTGATGTAGGTCCCTGTTGGGATCTTGTAAAAGAATGACACTTTCCCAATTTCATACCTCCTCCAGCTTTGATGGCTTTTGAGTGGCTTGTGCCTTCTTTTCTGCATTATCCAATACAACGGCTTTGGACGCCAATAAACCTTAACGATAAAGAATGATAGATTAGAAATCTATGCAATGTAAAAAAATGCATTAACACAAACAAGACGAAGGCATGTGTAACCAAATGTTGATTTTCTACTTTATAACCAAACAATTAAAGTTACAGCACTAGGAGAAAATTAGAGTGGAAGAAAAAACAGACTATGTTCCTTCCCCCTTCTCCTACCTATGTTGCCTAAACTGCATAAAAAGAAAAGAAAAAAAAGGATCTGTATACTTAACTAATGCTAAACCGCTTCAGTCCAGTCACATGATCCCACAGCTCTGACTCTCCTGCATCAATGAGTGGCTGCCGCAGGGGAGAGGAGGGAGGCCTAAAATGCCTGGGCATTAGAAGCCTAAGAGTGATATCACAGTTCCAAGAATTCAGAGCTGTTGCCGAGTAACCCTTTACTTAAAGCTTCAGGATCACATGATCGGATCGGAGCGGATTGCAAATAGATAAGTATATAAATCCATTTTTTATACACTATATTGCCAAGAGTATTGGTCGGCCTGCCTTTACACGCGCATGAACTTTAATGGCATCCCAGTCTTAGTCCGTAGGGTTCAGTATTGAGATGGCCCCGCCCTTTGCAGCTATAACAGCTTCAACTCTTCTGGGAAGGCCGTCCACAAGGTTTAGGAGGGTGTCTATGGGAAGGTTTCACCATTCTTCCAGAAGCACATTTGTGAGGTCAGGCACTGATGTTGGACGAGAAGGCCCGGCTCGCAGTCTCCGCTCTAATTCATCCCTAAGGTGTTCGATCGGATTGAGATCAGGACTCTGTGCAGGCCAGCCAAGTTCCTCCACCCCAAACTCGCTCATCTATGTCTTTATGGACCTTGCTTTGTGCACTGGTGTGCAGTCATGTTGGAACAGCTCCCACAAAGCAAGAAATTGTCCAAAATGTCCTGGCATGCTGACGCCTTAAGAGTTCCCTTCACTGAAACTAGGGGGCCAAGCCCAATCCCTGAAAAACAACCCCACACCATAATCCCCTCCACCCAACTTTACACTTGGCACAATGCAGTCGGGCAAGTACCGTTCTCCTGGCAATTGTCAAACCCAGACATGTCCATTGGATTGCAAGACAGAGACGCATGATTTGTCACTCCAGAGAACACATCTCCACTGCTCTAGAGTCCAGTGGCAGCGTGCTTTACACCACTGCATCCGATGCTTTGCATTGCACTTGGTGATGTAAGGCTTGGATGCAGCTGCTCGGCCATGGAAACCCATTCCATGAAGCTCTCTATGCACTGGTACTGTGCTAATCTGAAGGCCACACCAAGTGTGGAGGTCTTTAGCTATTGACTCTGCAGACAGTTGGCGACATTTGCGCACTGTGCGCTTCAGCATGCGCTGACCCCGCTCTGTCATGTTACGTGGCCTACCACTTCGTGGCTGAGTTGCTGTTGTTCCCAGTTGCTTCCATTTTGTTATAATAGCACTTACAGTTGACCGTGAAATATTTAGTAGCCAGGAAATGTCACGGATGGACATATTGCACAGGTGGCAACCTATCACGGTACCACGCTTGAATTCACTGAGCTCCTGAGAGCCCATTTTTTCACAAATGTTTGTAGAAGCAGTCTGCATGCCTAGGGGCTCAATTTTATACACCTGTGGCCATGGAGGTAATTGGAACACCCGAATCCAATGATTTGGAGGGGTGTCCCAATACTTTTGGTAGTATAGTGTATGTTAGGCAGGAGAGGTAGAGGGAGAGAAAGAACTTTTTTGAGAACAGATATAGTTAGGGTTTTTGTCCACCTCAACCATTTAATTTCAACGCATTCATTAATGTTTAGATGCTCTAGGTAAATTTTGCAGCATCAGTATGCATTGGTTAACTTGATTATTTATTACAAGTACTTACATAGCGCCATCAATTTACATATATATATTGTACATTCACATCAGTCCCTAACCCTCAAGGGGTGTACAATCTAAGGTATTATAACTCTATAGGGTATACAGTATTCATAAAAGAAGTGCATGTGACATTCACTGCATGTGTATCGTGCTAGTGCATGTGTTTTAAAATTAGAGAGAAGCTAGAAGGCAGACAGAGTGATGAGAGTGCTAGGAAAGCGAACAGAGACAGACGAGAGAGCAAGGAAGATGGACAGAGAGAGACAGGAGAACTAGCAAGGAGGACAGAAAAGACAAGAGAGCTAGCATGGAGGAGATAGGAGAGCTAGCAAATAGGATAGCGAGAGACATAAGAGCTAGGAAGGAGGACCGAGAGAGACAGAAGAGCTAGGAAGGAGGACTGAGAGAAACAGAAGAGCTATGAAGGAGGAAAAATAGGGAGATGAGAGCTAGGAAGGAGGACAGGGTGAGACAGGAGAACTATAAAGGAGGACAGATAGGGAAAAAGCGAGAGCTAGCAAAGAGGACAGAGAGAAATAGGAGAGCTAGGAAGGAGGACAGGGAGAAACAGGAAAGCTGAGGACAGAGAGAGAGAGAGAGAGCTAAGAAGGAGGACAGAGCATGAGAGACAGGAGATCTAAGAAGGAGGACGGAGAGAGAAACAGGAGAGCTAGCAAGGAGAATAGAGAGAGAGGGAGACAGGAGAGCTAAGTTCCCTAACCCTTAAGAAATCTAAGTGCTCTATGAAGGAGGACAGAGAGAGAGAGACAGGAAAGCTAAGGAGGACAGAGAGAGAGGAGAGCTAAGAAGGAGGACAGAGAGAGAGAGAGAGAGAGACAGGAGAGCTAAGAAGGAGGACGGAGAGAGAAACAGGAGAGCTAAGAAGGAGAATAGAGAGAGAGAGAGAGAGAGAGAGAGAGAGAGAGAGCTAGACAGGAGAGCTAAGAAGGAGGACAGAGAGAGAGGAGAGCTAAGGAGGAGGACAGAGAGAGAGGAGAGCTAAGAAGGAGGACAGAGAGAGAGACAGTAAAGCTAAGAAGGAGGACAGAGAGAGAGGAGAGCTAAGAAGGAGGACAGAGAGAGAAACAGGAGAGCTAGCAAGGAGAACAGAGAGAGAGAGATAGAAGAGCTAAGGAGGGCAGAGAGACAGGGGAGCTATAAAGGAGGACAGATAGGGACACGGGAGCTAGCAAATGGGGATAGAGAGAGGCAGGGGAGTGAAGGAGAAAGACAGATAGGGACACGAGAGCTGCAAAGGGGATAGAGAGGGACAGGGGAGCAAAGGAGGAGGACAGAGAGAGATGGGAGAGCTATAAAGGAGGACAGAGAGAGACAGGAGAGCTATGAAGGAGGACAGATAGGGACATGAGAGCTAGCAAATGGGGATAGAGAGAGGCAGGGGAGTGAAGAAGGAGGACAGATAAGGACACAAGAGCTAGAAAGGCAGACAGAGACAGGAGAGCTAGCAAGTAGAATAGAGAGGGACTGCAGAGCCAAGAAGGAGGACAGAGAGAGAACAGGAGAACTAGAAAAAGGACAAATAGAGACACAATAGCTAGGAAGGCAGACAGAGATATGAGAGTGTGGAAAAAGAACAAGAACTAAGAGACAGATAGCGGCAGAGATACCTGTTATTTTATTTAGCCGAGCACGTTTTGCTTGGAAGGTGCTAGTCTGGCTCATTTTCCTTTTAAGTATCAGATCATCAACTCTCTGTTGAGTGGGCAACTTCGAGACCTCTCCCAATGTAATTTCTAGTTTCAAGAGATAGAAGGAATATTCTGTTAGAGAGCCATAGCTGCTGTTCAAAACACAAACATGATAAACCATATTAAAGACCAACTACATGGAGAGTGTGGAAGAGGTAGATGCCATTTCCTTGTTATCCAAGTTCCCACTAGGGAATTTTCACCTCACATTCTTTCCAAGTCATATAAGGTCAAGCCAAGTAAAAAAATAAAAAAGGGAGCAGGAATCACCAGAACAGGAAGACAAGCACTGAATAAATTTTGCTAAGAGAAATTTTGCACCACTTCCTGTCCCTTTAAATACAATTTACCAAGACCGCAAAGAAATCTAGACAGTATATTTGAATGTAGTCAACACCGTAGTGTAGCTGTATAGTTCCTCCTATAGATAACTCATTACAGGAATACATCATTTGTATATACATCACCTCTTCAGATACATTTATCCAAGTGTCTGTTAGTATCACCCAAAAATGCTTTCAGGGATTTCCTTGGCACACTTTCCACATAGGCCTCAACCACTGCTTTAAGTGTCATCTAAAACCCACCTCCACTATTAAAGAATTCAATTGCATGGATTGTTGCATGCAAGGAGGGAGCTTAGCTTCAGGGTGATCTACAGGGATTCCTACGAGCTTGACATGCAGGGTTTGTTCTTAGTATCAAGAGTTTCAGCAGCAGCTTCCAGTATGAAGAACAGACGTGACACAAAAGACAGCCAGGCCCCACTCTTTATATCAGGAGTGCTCAAAGCAGCTTCTCTATGATTAACCCTGCAAACAGTATCTGCCAATATAATTCTTAAAGACAGTACATTGCATTGATATTGTCACATTGCTTTTTGGTTAGTGCTCTTGTGCAATCAATGTCCACTGCAGATAAGTCATGTTTCCTTGTGGCATAGCACGCTATAGGGGTTTCAACACCCATTCGCTCCTACATTTTTTAAAAGGTGGCGACCCTAGAAACAGCTAACATCAGCTGCCATTTCTGTACCCTATGCCAGCCTGACCGCTGTGTGTACAGACAGACATCCTATAATCCTATCATTCTAAGGCATCTTCACTGTGCGGACCACTATGGCATAAGGGAGAACAAAAAGATCAAACAAGGTTTGGTAACCTGTCTGTTCACTATTAACGTTCTCCCTCCAGATAAGTTTCAGTTTGTGAAGGTACAATTTGGTGTCTCCATTTTGGCTACTAGAAAACCTTGTCCCACCAGTGCTCTTAGGAGACTGCATGCCAGGTCATACATAACCCCTTCTTGATCAAGTGATCGGCTGTCAAAGTGGTATCATGATCGTGTAGGCATTTGTGCACCGTGTGGGTGTTAAGGTCCACCTCCTCCCTGCTGCTATATAGATCACCACAGGAAGTAATAAGCCCAATGGATTTGTCGCCGATCAGCAGGTATTTATCTGTACTTGGAACATATTTAAAAAGCCAAAACATTGGGTAAACTTCCAGACACCAAAGGGATGGATTATGTAACTAGAGCAGGGTGGTTGCACAACTTTCACATCTCCCCCACTTTCTTAGACAATCAACATCTGCCTTTACACATTCCATAGTGATTAAAGTATGGGGACTGGGATACCTGTCTGGACATAAACGCCGGGGTACCTTCCTGACACTTCTTACAATGGAACACATGTTTTGGTTAAGCTACAACGTATTTAACATTACAGAACAAGCCAAGTTGAATGTGACTATTACTAGCTGTCTGTGTGAGCTCTCCCTTTAATTCTTGTCCTTAAGATGCAACAGGAAATAAGAGGAAACCTCCCCTTAGTTGTCAATAGAAACAATTGCCTTAGTGGGATGATTTCTGGTCCCTTCTTGCTCTGGTAGCAACTTTAACATTTTTGATTTCCTATCAATTTTGGTTTCGACAGGGACACTGACAGCAATAAAAGCATTTCAGGTGAGCTATCCCTATCCCCTTTATAAAAATGAATAAAAAAAAAAAAAAAAAAAAACAAATAAAAGTTAAAGTGGAGTTCCACCTGAAAAAATAAATAAATAAATAAATAAAAAAGCTAGCAGCTACAAAAACTGTAGCTGTTGACTTTTAAAATACAGCCACTTACCTGTCCCTCGGTCCAGCGATGTCCTCACCACGGCTGGTTTCACCGGCCGTCTTCTCTCCCTGGCATCTTCAGTGTGGGCACCCAGCTAGGTTCCCACTGTGCATACACGAGAAGCGGTACACTTTGTGAATGGTCCTGTAGTCTTCTGGGACCTGTCACGTGTCCCAGAAGACTACGGGGAGGGAGAGGAGGACAACTAACGCTTCCGATTGCCTAGGCGATCGCAGTGGAAGTGAGAGTGAGTACCTGTCAAAGTCGGGTACCCGCTCCCCCAAGGTTCCAATCCTGAATGGGGAGCGGGGGGCAAAGGCACACTTTAAGGTAGTCATAAATTGGACAGCTTAAACCAAACTTTCTGGCGAAAAAAAGATAAACTTCAACACGCCTGCAAATCCCATATCTTGGAATACAGTACAGGATAAGTATTCATAGACCCTTGGTGTTATACCTTCAGGTGCTTAGACAATGGCAGAGCTTTTCAGGACATGTCTCCCCTACAAGCTTTCCTCACTCCGTGCGTCTTCAGTTTAGTAACAAGCAATGCAGAATAGGCAAGATATGAAAAGGGAGGGTGACCTGTGTCCTGTAATCCAAGATATGGTATTTACAGTCAAGTCAAAATTTATATTACCTTAATCGTACAATACAGGGCACTGGCAAGATATTCATAGACCCTGGGACGTCCCCAGTCAATGAATGAGAAGGTTGGGCAAAAACAAGGCAAAAAGAACAATACCAACAGGCCCAACAACAACAAGGGTCAAAAGGCCCAACTTCAGTGTGTCCCTGCAATTAGCTTGGGGGAAAGCTGCATCCACAGAAGACTGGATGTTCCCCTATTAGAAATTAGAAGGTATGAAGAGAGGACCAAGTGCCAGCCATACACAGCTGGGCTACAGAGACCTGGTTCTGGAAAACCCAGAAAATGTTCACCGATTTGGTGGAGTGGGCACCTAAAGTGCAAGAGGACATTTGTCATTGATAGCGTAAGCTCTGACAATCAGATTTCCTATCCATCAAGCGTTGGTGGATTTAAAAAGCAGAGTGCCCCTTGTGAAATCCTGAGGACAGGTCAAATATGGAATTAGTCTTCCTGATCAAATCTGTTGCTTTAATGTAGACTCTAATGGCTCTGACTATATCAGGCAATGAAGAGATTTCCTTTTGATGCTTTGGAGTAGGGAATAACGTGGGTAGGCCTATGTCTTTATTGAGATGGAAGACTAACAGCACCTTAGGAAGAAAGGATGTTTTTGGGCACAAGACTACTTTGTTATTGCGAAGGATGAAAAACGTCTCCTTACAAGAGAAAGCCACAAGCTCAGAGACAAAACTGACAGACATGAGAGCAAACAAAAAGGCCACTTTGCAGAAGAGGTCATCTAGGGGAATATCCCTGGGGGGGGGGTTCAAGGGTGGTTTTTGCAGGGGAATGTGAATCTGAAGGTCTTTGAAAAAAGAATGGACAAGGCCAAAACCAAACTTTCAGAGGGGTTCAAATTCTAGTCAAAAGATTACTGTAGGAAGGCCATAATACGAAGCACAAAGTACTCTCTGGGACTGAATTGCCTGTGTTCACACCAGCAAAGAAGGACTTCAAGGTAACATAGTATATCTATCTGGTAGTGGCTTTTCTTGCTTTGCGCAATGTTGGAATAACAGACTCCTCTTATCTCTTAAAGTAGTTCTAAAGTCGAAACATTTTTTACCTTAATGCCGTCCCTGCATTAAGGTAACAAATGCCACACTACCTGTTCTACCCAACTCCATCCGTTTGCACCAGGCCCGTCACCACTCCAGTGCTGTCACGGCTGCAGCACCACTCCCCCCTTACTTCCTGGTCTCGCTGAGTCACTGAGGGCAGCGGGAGCAATAAGCACCTGCTGCTGTCAGTCAAATTCCTGTGGAAGTGGAGAGGAAGCAATGCCATGACTTACCCAGGCAAGGAATGCGCACGCATGCTTGCCTCCATAGCACCCAGCTTGCTTAGGAGGCACCCAGAGAAGGGAGAAGCAGACAACACTGGCAGGAGTCTGCCAAAGAGGAGGTAAGAGACCACTCCGTACAATATCACTGCACAGCGTAAGTAAAACATCTTTTTTATTTTAGCCCACATAACTATATCTTTAGGTTCATTTTAAGACCTCAGCTTCAACAGCCGTGTCATTAAAGCCAGAGACTTAGAAGCAAGATACAATAGACAGCCCAAGACAGCAGATCTGGCCTTTTGGGAAGAAGCCAGGGGTCATCTGCCAGAAGTCTGTTCATCTCTGTGCACTAGGCACTTCTGGACCAATTTAGTGCAATGAGAATCATAGTGTTCCTCTCTAGTTCTACCCTTTTAAGAAGACAAGGAAGAATTCGCACTTGGGTAAAGGCATAGACTACCCTGAGATATGACCAGGGAATTACCAGTGCACTCAAAGCAAACGCTAGAGGATCCTTGGTCCTGGCCAGAAACAGAGGTAGTCTGATGTTTAATCTGGAGACTAGAATGTCTGTAGTCCCACATTTCTAAAATATCAGATTGAAGATGCTTAGGTGAAGGGCCCATTCCTCTTTATTCATGTTGTTGTGGCTAAACTAATCCACTTTCCAGTTTTCCATTCCTAAATGTAGGCCGCAGAGATTACTGGACATGAGATTACCTGTCTTTCTTCCTTCAAGGCTGCATGAGCCCTAGTGCCCCATTGATAGTTGTTGTAGGCTTCAGCCATGGCATTGTCTGCTGCACCCTTATTGGGGGTCCACACAGGAGGGAGGGTCCAGTGTTACATAACCATTCATTTTGCTCTGAGCTCCAGGATGTTGAAAAGGAGCTTGGCTTCCACGAGTGACCATGTTCCCTGGACCGCAGGGGGCTAGGAACTCCCGTCCCCAGCCTGAAAGTGTAATCTGCTGGCATCACTTTCCAGTGATTGGAAAGAATTCCCTACTGTTGACACACCAAGTTAGGGTATTCCTTGCTTAGCTGGACAAGAGCATAGGTAGGTCAAAAGAAGGAGCATGCTTTTTCCAGGTCAACAAGATGTTGTGTTGGAGAGGTCTCCAATGAAAAAGGGCAAATGGCACAACCTCAAAAGGAGGCTACCATGAGGCCTAGAACTCTAATGCAGAATCTCATTGTGGGATGTCTGTATGATCTCAAATCTTGAATCTTGAATGTATCAATTGATCCCACCAAACCAACCAAATACTAGGCCTGGAGAATTTTGGAAATGTCACCCAACCAAAAGGTGGAGAAATTTGGTGGAAATTTGCAGACAGTTGTAAGGAAAATGAGTCCTTTAAGAGAAGTTCATCTAGGTAACGTGTAACTTGTGACCTGTATGCCCTGAGTTCTGAGTAGGGAAAGAGGTGGAGCTAGGACCTTTGTGAGTATGGCAGAAGTGAAGTTATCCACATTTGAAAAAACATGGGATCCAACTAAGGTAAAGAATAGGGAACTGGAGAAGAGGCAGGGCATTTTGTGGCCCTGGACAAAGATGACTGTTTTAAGGCTATTGTCTGAGAAACTGATATGGATAAGGAGAATTCTGCTTTTGTCAGGTAGGCTGTTTGTTGCATGCCTAAGATAGAGCTAGAATTGGAGTGTGGCAGAGGCTTACATATCAGTTATGTGGAAACAGACACAACCCCCGGCTAGGTCACTGTGGTATTCCAAAGTCAATGATATTCTCCATATGGAAGACTTAACAGCCACTCTTCACAACACTGTGGAAGCCTTCAGAGAAAGGTGGAGACCCAGGAGACATTTTACCTGTACCGATAAATATACACAGGTCATGTCTCAAGCTGACCATGAACTTGCTTAAAATACCCTGCAGGGGGCTTATGTTTCTGTCATTGAGGAACCTGGTCTGGAGACAACCCCAGAGACTTTCGCGCCCCCCCCCCCCCCCCCCCCCACTTTTGGTTTCTCTCATTCTTCTCTTTTACTCTCTTTATGCTCTCTGCTACCCTTATTCTCTCTTACTCAGTTCATGTCAGCTGCCTGCCATAGTAGGTATCCAGTGTTATGATTTTATTCAGTATTTGCATTGACAGTTCATTCAGGCAGCTTTATATGGTTACGTTCTAAGTTGAATAGTACGTTAGAATGTATCTCTTCTCACAAAAGTTTGAATATCTAACTGACCTACGTCTGTCTTATGACTCAATGTGATGCAATCTTTATACTCATTTACGTTTCCCGAAAGTTGGAAATGTGATGTAGTTATCGACTCTATACCTCTGTATTACAAACTGATGTCCACATTACCCTTTGTAAGAAGGTATCCATAAATAAAGAATTTAAAATAAAAAAAAAAGCTAGCATTGGATGCAGAGACTGGTGTTAAAAGAGGTTCCTGCTCCAGCACATGGGAAGCATAAACACTCTGGGGTTAGTGTTCTGCAGTCCTTCAGCAGAGCAAATTTTTTTTGGCATTTAGCCATGGCTCCCTTCGCTTAGTTTCCACCATAAATATGAGTGAGAGCATTCCCCCGTGGAGTACTCAGTGTGATGAGGAATATTGGGTAAGCATATCAGGGAGTGCACAACAACCCAAGTGTAGACTGTCCTGTGAGGAATCCTTGTGACGAAAGGGAGAGAGGTAACACCTGAGTACCTTATAAGGGCTCTAGGCAGAAGCAGCGGTCAAGTGTTCGATCAATGGTGTTAGGCAACGTTAATACATTCCAAACAGTCCCAGTTTTTACAGAAACATAAATACAGGGAGACTCTGTCTTGTCTGTCCATGATGCTGGACTGGATATATAGTCTGCATTTCACCTGTCACAATGGGCATACCCCTGAAAGGGTGTTCGGGGTTGGTTTCCACAGCATTTGGGACCATGGCTCTGGACCTGTACAGCACCCTGACTACCAAGCATTACACTAAGTGTCAAGGTGAAGGCCTGTGCAGGATTCAATGCCTGAAGCAACATTACAGGCCATCCCATGGCATGGGGTCCAGGTGCAGCTCCCAAAGTTTTTAGTTTTACCGAGGTTATGCCAACCTGAATGTACTGCTGCTATTTGTGGTATTAGAAGGCAGTGAAGGAGATGACTGAAGAGTTGAAGAATCAAAAGATAAAACAATAAAATAATAAACTAGCTAAGAGTGATTTCACTGCAAGGGAAAAAGAGGCCCATCGCCGAAGGAGACTAGCAAAAAACTGAGGACACACAGATTGGGATGGGGATATACGGGAGGCACCCAGGGGATGTGCCCTCGAAAGCTTTGCGAAGGTACGAGCTTAACGCGTTATGAAAACTCTGCCTGTGTTCTGTACTGTACAATTAAGAGAAATCTCTAGAATACACATTTATAAACATACATCTACCAATTCAATAAATAATTCAAAAAACACTTGTCCTCTATAAAAGGTGCAGCCCCTTGTGCTAAGTCAGTAGTGATAAAATGTAGCTGTTCCCAAATTATGCTACGGTCACATCAAGCGGTCATCTTAGGCACAAGTTCTATTTAAGGAAGCAATATACCTAGGTTCTGGCTGGACGTTGGCTCTTCCTCCTTGTGAAATAATTCTAGGGGTTTACTAATTGGAGTGTCCTCTTTTTTAATAGACATTTTATGTGTTTTTCTTTCTTCTTTGTCCTTATTGCTGTTTACACTGGTCCTTGGTTTGTTTGCAGCCTTACTCTTGACCACTGCAGCCGCTGCTTTCACTAATGCAATCCAGTCCTACAAGGAGAAAGCAGGTTTGTCAAAAGTATGAAAAAAAAACAAAGCAGAGTGGTATTAGGGCATGCAGTGACTTCTGGAGAGCTACAAGACCCAGCAAAAAAAAAAAAAGAAGTAAGTACTCTTTTTATTCATCATATTCTATGAAAAAAAATAAGTATGTAAAGAGGACCTAGGCTAGACAGGACTAGAGTGCAAATAATGAAGCCTTGATAACCGTTTTGCTGTCATGCATACATTTCCAGTAACAAAAGATTTGAAATATTTGCCTTGCCTGGAGACATTTTTGCTCTGGGCTACCTTGCAAAAACACATCTGAAGTCTGGGAGACCAGGACTTTGTACACAAATTTTCTTTCTTCAAATCTTTAATAGTAAGTGACAGCACATGTGTTGTGACAGCACTGGTCTCAGGCAAGAGACTGAAGCTGGAGACCAGAAATGTCAATCAAAGCTTACTAGTTATTTCTAACCTACAGAGTAGCATGGCCAGACAATGGTTTGGAAGGGAGGGGTACACTGTCGATCACCCTAGCTCCGGAACTACTGCACCATCAATATGTGCACATACAGTGGATATAAAAAGTCTACACACCCATTAAATAAAACGTGAGGTTTCTGTGATGTAAAAAAAAAACAAAAATGAAAGAAAAATTTCAAATAAAAATAATTTCTGAACTTTTTTTCCACCTTAAATGTGACCTATAAACTGTACAACTCAATTGAAAAACAAACTGAAATGTTTTGGGGGAGGGGGTTACAAAAGAATTTCCAAGGCATTAGATATACCATGGAACACAGTGAAGACAGTCATCATCAAGTGGAGAAGATTTGGCGTAACAGTGACATTGCCAAGAACTGGACGTCCCTCCAAAATCGATGAAAAGACGAGAGGAAAACTGGTCTGGGAGGCTGCCAAGAAGCCTACAGCAACATTAATGGAGCCAGAAGAAGTTTAAAGTGCTGGAATAGCCCAGCCAGAGCCCAGACCTGAATCCGATGGAAAATCTGTGGGGTGATCTGAAGAGCGCTGTGCACAGAAGATGCCCTCGCAATCTGACAGAATTGGAGTGTTTTTTGCAAGGAAGAGTGGGCAAATATTGCCAGGTCAAGATGTGCCATGCTGATAGACTCATACCCAAAAAAACTGAGTGCTGAAATCAAATCAAAAGGTGCTTCAACAAAGTATTAGTTTAAGGGTGTGCACACTTATGCAACCATATTCTTTTAGGTTATTTTTTACTTCCCTCCACCTTAAAGATTTCAGTTTGTTGTTCAAATGACTTGTACAGTTTATAGGTCACATTCAAGGTGGAAAAAGTTCTGAAATTATTTATCTTTGTTTCATTTTTTTACATCACAGAAACCTGACATTTTAACAGGGGTGTGTAGACTTTTTATATCCACTGTAGCACTTCTAGGGAACAATAAAAATATGTGAATGGTGAGAAGACTTCTTTTATAAGGGCAACACAGTGGCTAAATAGTTAGCACTTCCACCTGGCAGCACTAGGAACATTGGCTCAAATTCCAACAATGGCACCACCTCCCTGGAGTTTGCATGTTCTCCTTTGCCTGCGTGGGTACTCCAGTTTCCTCCCACACTCCAAATACATGCTGGCAGATTAACTGACTCCTGTCTAAATTGGTCCACGTATGTATATGTATGAATGTAAGTTAGGGACCCTAGATTGTACGCCCCTTGAGGGACTGATGTGAATGTTATCTATCTCATATATATATATATATATATATATATATATATATATATATATATATATATATATATAAATAAAAATGTAACCAAGCTGAGAATATGCATTCCTACCTGGCCTTTTGCATCCTCCGGCATGGATTTAATGTGCATCTTTTTCAAGCACCGTATAACTCCGTCATAAAATTGCACAGTATATGTTCCTGAAACAGTATAGAAATACCATAACATTACCGGTACAGTAGACTGTGTTATAAAATGGATACATCTTTAGGGTCTTGTTACATGAACAATTCAAATAAAAGATTGTACCAGAATATCGCATTATAGCGTGTGTCTCTTCCTATAAAAATTATATAGCACTATTGTTGTTTGTTTGTCATTTAAAGCAGAACTTTACCACTTGCATGGTTGGGAGCTCTTGCCATAGTGTGTCCAATATGAACAGCATACTGGCACATTAAGGGCTTGTTTACACTTGCTTCAAAATGCAGCATTGGACCTGCTTTGTTAAAAGGATAGGTTCACCTTTTAGTAAAAACTAATAAATGCACATTTTTTTGCAGGTAAAAAAAATATGCATTTATTATTTTTGTCTGCAGGTGCATGTAAAGCATTGCACCAGCAATCAGGAGATCCCTGCTAGCTATCAAAGCAAGGATCTGCGGGGGGAAAGGGGGCAGGTTGGATCGTAACATGTTACCCTGAATATGGATGTAACATGTAACAAGTTACCATAGGTAAACGTATCCCTTAAAGCACTCAGATCGCCAATCAAAGCCCCTGTCACTAAATAAAATGGTAAGCTTACAGTCCTGTTTACATGTTGCATTTGCTTCAAAAATGATACCCCATGTTGCTTTCTTGGTGCTTCAAAGTGTCACCAAAGCCTCCACAGAAGTCTATGACAAAGCTAGCTAACAACTGCAGCTTTTGAGGGGCTTTTATTCAGCTTTAGCTTCGCTTTGTTTTGGAGGTATTGCAGGTATGAGATATCCCAGGATGCACTGGGAAGCCAACAAGCAAACCAGAAAGGCATCAGCAGCAGTCACTTCCATTCATATTCTGGAAGTGTCTAGTGCATTTGTCATATCTGGTATGCGGTGTGGAATAGAAGGAAGGTGAGCGGGGTCCAGACTGAAGTGGAGCAGTTAGCAGACGGCACATGTAGTGCGCAACATGGGAACGCTATAGCGGACATTAAGCAGGGACCAGAGGGAGAGAGAACTGAGCGGCAGAGGATCAGCTGAGCCGGGGGACCGAAGCAAGATAAACTAGCAGATGTCCCATGTGGTGAGCAGCATGGGGGCAATATAACAGGAGGTAAAACGGGGACCAGAGAGAGAGGAGGACAAGCAAATCAGAAGATCAACAGAGCTGGGGTCTACTCCTGGTTGGGGGGTTAGCAGAGCTGGGGAGTGCTACTGAGCGGGGGGGGGGGGGGGGGGGGTTACTACTGAGCAGGGGGAGATCAGCAGAGCTGGGGGTTACTAATGAGCTGGGTATCAGCAGAGCAGTGGGTATTACTAAGTAGGGCATCATCAGAGCTGGGGGTACTACTGAACAGGGGATCTGCTGAGCGAGGATACCAATGAGCTGGGGATCTGCTGAACAGGGGTACTAATGAGCTGGAGATCTGCTGAGCCCCTTTAAAACAAATAAAAAATTAACACCTACACAGGACATTTGCCATGCTTCATTAAAGCTTCAAAAAAGCAATCCGAAGCCTCAAAAACTTATCCAAAAAGCATGTTGAAGCAATAGATGCTTTAATGTTTGTTAAAGTTGAAGCAAGTGTAAATGAGCCCTAAGGCTTACTTACCCCAAAATATGACATATAAAATATACTGCCCCTATTGCTCTGTCCTTGGCTGCTGACACTTTCTGCCAGTATTCTCTTAGGTACAGCATCTTCCAGCTTCACTCTTGGGCAGCTGCTGATGATGCAACGCTTGTGCATGCATGCACAATGAAGTTACATCTCCTTGGTACCCCACATTCTAATCCCTTTGTGAGCCCGGAATGTACTAGAAGCAAGGGAAAGACATTTATTGACAGAAGACTTGCATGTCTCTTCTGCCAAAAAAAATAAAAATCTACTTCCTACAACTTTCTTTTCCTTTAAAGCAGGGGTATCAAACCGGCAGCCATCCAGCTGTTTTCAAACTACAAGTCCCATGAGGCATTGCAAGGCTGACAGTTACAATCATACTCCCAGAGGCATGATGGGACTTGTCGTTTTGCAACAGCTGGAGGGCCAGCAGTTTGACACCCCTGCTTTAAAGTATATCTAAGCCCAATAAATAAAAATCTAACATATTGCAGCTTACCAACCCATTGATGTGGTGGCCGCACAAATTTTCTTTTTTCACTTTCACCTGGTGATCCTGCCAGTTACACAGTTCCTGTCCTATGGTCACAACCCCCACTGACTGTCCTATATCCATGCAGGAGCAGCATTATTATCCTAGATCAAGAATTGTGTTGGCTTTAGAACTCCTTCCCCTCTCCTTAATTCTCTTTAAATTTGGGGGGGGGGGGGGTAAATATTCTATAGTCCAATGAGGTGAACTTGCAGGGCTGATATTCTTTGAATTTCAGAGCAGCAGAGGTAAAAGGCAGAAAGTTACCTAACCACACAGATTGCAAAGGGACATGATCTGCGGCTGAAGTGTAAACTCTCCCTAGGAGTGTTAAAGGATTTGGCTGCACCAGGGGTAGGCAACCTGCGGCTCTCTAGCTGTTGTGGAACTACATTTCCCATGAGACATTGCAAAATTGACATTTACAGCTATGACTTGCAGAGGCATGATGGAACTTGTAGTCCTACAACAGCTGGAGAGCCGCAGGTTGCCTACCCCTGGGCTAGACAATATTGAAAGTTGGGCTGGGAGATATCTGGGGATAAATCCATAGTCACAGATATTCTGATCAAGGCAAATCGGCTTTAATGTTAGGACATTAAAATGGTAAATGTTCCACTTTCTTCCTCACTGTCCAGTCACAGGATGGAGCAGGGAGAAGCTCTGTAACAGTTACCTAAAGCAGTGTTTTTCCAATGGAAAAAAAGACAAACCACTCACTAAATGCCAACTCCTGTATTACAGACCGGAGTGAGACAGCATAGCCCGCACCTCCTCCCTGCTCTCTCCTTCTTTCTAACTCTAGCTGTACTCCTATTGGCAACTCTGAATGTTTTATGGGCTGCCAGCTCGTTTCCTACCAATTGATGACATCACCGGTTGCTAAGGACAGGACGGACAGCTTGCTCAGCATTCTGGGCTGCCAATAGGAGTACAGATAGGGGAGGCAATACGGGGTATGTGCTCTCTCACTCCGGTCTGTATTACAGGAGTTAACAGAAAGTGATAGTAGATCAGAGTTTACAGATTTCACTACTGCCCCCATCACCTCCCCATACTGCTAGGGGAGTGGGGGAGAGAGCACAGCCCACGCCTCCTTCGGTCTGGGGCTGTCACTACTCCTGCAGTGATGAGAGGGAAGTGTTGGGATGAGGTTTTATGCTAAGAGGGTGTTATTGTGGGGGGGGGGGGGGGGGGGGGGGGGTGCATCTGTTGTAGGAGAGGGGTGTGCTTGTAAATTGGAGACATCCTGTAAGGACGTTATTCCACTGCAAAGCTTGGTGTGATCTGCAAAGACTGAAATGGTATGTTTAATCCCAGACCCTATATTGTTTATAAATATATTAAAAAGTAAGGGTCCCAACACTGAATCCTGGGGTACACCACTGACACTAGACCATTCAGAGTATGAATCATTAACCACTACTTTCTGAATACCATCTTTTAGCCAGTTTTCTATCCATTTACATACAGATTTTTCCAAGCCCGCAAACATCACCTTACACATTAGCTGTATGTGGGAAACTGTGTCAAACACTTTTGCAAAATCCAAGTATACCACGTCCACCTCCACCCCTCTGTCCAAGTATACCATGTCCACCGCCACCCCTCTGTCCAAGTATACCACGTCCACTGCCACCCCTCTGTCCAAGTATACCACGTCCACCGCCACCCCTCTGTCCAAGTATACCACGTCCACGCCACCCCTCTGTCCAAGTATACCACGTCCACCCCTCTGTCCAAGTATACCACGTCCACCGCCACCCCTCTGTCCAAGTATACCACGTCCACCGCCACCCCTCTGTCCAAGTATACCACATCCACTGCCACCCCTCTTGTCCAAGGTTTTGCTCACCTCCTCATAAAAAGAAATCAGTTTTGTTTGACAATCTCTGTCTTACATGAATCCATGCTGTCTGTTGCTTAAAATATTTTTTTCCAGCAAGAACTCATCTATGTGGTCTTTTCTTAAACTCTCCAGTATCTTCCCAACTATAGAAGTTACACAAACAGGTCTATAATTACTTGGTAAAGATTTTGACCCCGTTTTAAATATTGGCACCACATTGGCCTTACACCAATCCAGTGGTACTATGCCAGTCATTAAAGAGCCCCTAAAATTAGAAACAATGGCTTTGAAATAACAAAACTCATCTCTTTAAGGCCCCGTGGGTGTATGCCATCCGGTCCAGGTGCTTTGTTCACCTTTATTCTGTCTAAATATTTTTGGATCATATCAATTGTGAGCCAATGTGGATCATCTGGAGCTGTGTATCAATACCATGCCCATTATGGACAAGATCTCCCCCATGCTCCTTTGTATTCACAGAGCTGAAGAAGGTATTTAATAAATTTGCCTTCTCTTTGTCCCCAGTCACCCACTGTAGATTATTTTGTAAAGGGCCTACATGCTCGGACCGGACCTTTTTACTATTACTACATTTGAAGAATTTTTTGGGGTCGGTCCTGCTATCTTTTACAATCTGTCGTTCATTTTCAATTTTTGCAGCCTTTATTTCCTTTTTACATATTCTGTTAAATTCTTTGTAATGTTTAAACGATGATAGCATTCCTTCATTTTTATATGTTATAAAAGCTCTTTTCTTATTATATATACCTTTTTTAACTTTGGCCGTAAGCCATATAGGTTTAACTTTTAGCCTTTTAAACATATTGCCCATGGGAATATATTTTGCAGTGTGTTCACATGCAGTCTTTTTGAAGAACTCCCCATTTCTGTGTTGTGTTCATCAATGCCAATATTCCCTCCCAGTCTAAGTCTTGGAGAACAACTCTCAGCCTTGTTAAATTAGCTCTCTTGAAGTTGAGTGTTTTTATTTTTCCCGTGTGTGCTTGTTATTTATAGCTAACAATAAATGAAATCATGTTATGGTCAATGCTACCCAGATGTTCTTTTATATGGACATTAGTAATAAGCTCTGCATGGTTTGAGATTACCAGGCCCAGCAGAGCATCATTCCTAGTTGGGGCCTCTATGAACAATTCAAAAGGATGCCTTGACTGAAAAAGGTTGGAAAACACTGGCCTAAAGTAGTACTAAACCCAAAAACAAAAATGTAATATATTGCAGCTTACCAATCATTAGGCGTGGTGGCTACATTAGTTTTCTTTATTTTAGGCTTTCTTTCCTCTGTTTTTACTTGATGAATTGCCCAGTAACACACCTCCTGTATTAGAGTGCCTCCACTTTGGATGAAGGAGCACAAGGGGCACATTTGCACAGCAGCAGTCCGTGTTGCCCAGCGACATCCCCAAAACATCACTGCTCTAGAGGAGATCTGCATGGAGGAATGGGCCAACATACCAGCAACAGTGTGTGCCAACCTTGTGAAGACTTACAGGAAACGTTTGACCTCTGTCATTGCCAACAAAGGATATATAACAAAGTATTGAGATGAACTTTTGATATTGACCAAATACTTATTTTCCACCATAATTTGCAAATAAATTCTTTCCAAATCAGCCAATGTGATTGTCTGGATTTTTTTTCTCATTTTGTCTCTCATAGTTGAGGTCTACCTATGATGCCAATTACAGGCCTCTCTCATCTTTTTAAGTGGGAGAACTTGCACAATTGGTGGCTGACTAAATACTTTTTTGCCCCACTGTACCTGGACCCTACAGAGGATGCACAGGCAGTCCAATTCCTCCAGGATGGCACACCAATACGTGCCATTGCCAGAAGGTTTGCCGTGTCTCCCAGCACAGTCTCAAGAGCATGGAAGAGATTCCAAGAGACAGAAGTTAGCCTAGGAGAGCTGGACAGGGCTGTAGAAGGTCCTTAACCCATCAGCAGGACCGGTATCTGCTCCTTTGTGCAAGGAGGAACAGGATGAGCACTGTCAGAGCCCTACAAAATGACCTATAGCAGGCCACTGGTGTGAATGTCTCTGACCAAACAATCAAGAAACAGACTTCATGAGGGTGGCCTGAGGTCCTGACGTCCTCTAGTGGGCCCTGTGCTCACTGCCCGGCACCATAGAGCTCGATTGGTATTTGCCATTGAACACCAGATTTTGCAGGTCTGCCACTGACGCCCTTTGCTTTTCACAGATGAGAGCAGGTTCACCCTGAGCACATGTGACAGACGGGTCTGGAGAAGTCGTGGAGAACGTTATGATGCCTGTAACATCGTTCAGCATGACTGTTTTGGTGGTGGGTCAGTGATGATCTGGGGATGCATATCCATGGTGGGACGCACAGACCAGACCAGGCTAGACAATGGCACCCTGAGTGCAATTAGGTATCGGAATGAAATCCTTGGACCCATTGTCAGACCCTATGCTGGTGCAGTGGGTCCTAGGTTCCTGATGATGCAAGACAATGCCCGGCCTCATGTGGCGACAGTATGCAGGCTGTTCCTGGAGCATGAAGGAATTGATACCATTGAATAGCCCCCATGCTTGCCTGACCGAAATCCAATAGAACACCTCTGGGATATCATATTTCGGTCCATCCGATGCCACCAGGTTGCACCTCACACTGTCCAGGAGCTCAGTGATGCCCTGGTTCAGATCTGGGAGGAAATACCCCAGGACACCATCCGTCGACTCATTAGGAGCATGCCCCTACGTTGCCAGGCATGCACACAAGCACGTGGGGGCCATACAAGCTACTGAGTACCATTTTGAGTTGCAATGAAATTTCAGCAAAATGGACTACTCAAACCAAACAAAAGGAAATAAGGTCACCTCCTGAAGACGCTGCCAGGTGAGAACATATGTCGAAGCACAACGTGATTCCATCATATCCGGGCTCCAGTGACGTCACTTCAGGCTGGGACAGAGGCTTGGAACGCATGTCGGCCATCTTAATTGAATACACAGGCAATACACGATGGTGGCAGCTTCTTAGGCACTGTATCCAGTTTGTTTTAATTCCTACTGTTGCCTTAATAAATACTACAATTGGAACGGTTTTTCATTGTTGTGATGCCTTCAAGTGGTATGGCATAAACAGCAAGGATTAATTATCCCAATCCCTCCAATTATCATTTGGGGAATTTATTGGCAATTTTACATCAGTCCTCTTGGCTATCCAACTATGAAATGTGGGTGATGGTGAACAAAGGTGGAAGAACCTCTAGAGTATATCCTGGTTTATAAAAAACAATGCGATATATGACCACCTTTGCACCGAGGTGTGGACCCATGGATTTCTATGTCGCTAATATTGAGGTTTAAGAAGGACTGTCACACTTTGAATTTACTCAGCACATGGTGGAAGCATAAGGACGTTTTATGCAAATAGGATTATTCAGCTATTGCTCCTATTGTTTTGTGCATTGTTTGGTTTATGAATTGCTTGATATCTATATAATGGTATTCACAAATAATCACTATTCAGTTATCCTATTGGGTTTATAGGGTACATTTATATATTATATTTTTTATTTAAGTACAGCACCTATCTATTCATTACCAGTTAGCAAAATAGACTAGCCTGCTGCATAACTTTTTCACTTTGATTTTCGGGGTGTCTTTGAATTCAGTCCTCTGTAGGTTGATCATTTTCATTTCCATCAAACGATGGGGCATCCTTACATTCCTAACACATTACCCAGTCCATATCAGTATAGATATCCAGCATGATATTTTTCCCCATTGAGACCTAATGTGTTTTCAAAGTGTTATTTTAATTTTTTTTGAGCGGTGTATATAAAAATATTGTTGGTCCTTTCTTTCAAAACAGTTGTTTGTTCTCATATGTGTACTGTGTATTATGCTCTGCTGTGTTGTCTCAAAGTTTAACTGTACCTAATATTTTACGCAGTATACGGGCAATCCAAATATTCTATAGGGGGAGCTTCCAAAACAAATAATATAATATTACAATATGTGCTTCTATAATGACACGGGCAGCCTATAAAAAATATCTGACTTTATCTTTTGACCATAATATTTTAATTTCAGATGCACACAAAAGTGTTACGGTATTCAGTTACCTTCCTAGATAGGTTACTGAGCATGTACACACTTCTACTGATGTAAAATGAAGGTTAACCCACTATTCTGACACCAAAGTACACACCTTCTTTATTTATGGCCTCGATCTTGGCAGGATAATACCGACAGTCAGTCCAGCGAGCTAAAACCTCTTCTCCCTCCTTGAAATCCTACAAAATGTCAATCATATATTTCAGACTGAAGTTCTTTTTATTTTTAACATTTTTAAAAAAAGCTACAAAAGGCACTTGTCTTGTTTACACTTTAAATTTTCACTATAAAAGAGCTAAAAACTTACGTAGTTCTCCTCATCATCTCTTAGTCCTTCCTTTCGCAAAGAAGGTCTTTCCAGAGGACGGATCCGACTACTGTCCCAATGGATCCACTCATCGTATCGGCTGCTCCAACGCTCAAAATGCACCAACATTTTCCCCTCCTCGTAGTCCATTTTCTCTATCTTGGATGGGTACCTGGAGAAATTAATATCAAGATGACTGAGAGAAATAATGAATAAGGGTCCTCTCAAATACGACTTTGTACATTTGCCGAGCAGTTGACAGGAAAACCTATTAAGGCCTCACACAGATTTTTGTCAACTCAGGCAAGAATCCAGCAGATTCCTGCCGCTGGAATCACAGGAGGTTGAGAACAGTTGTATATTTTCAGTCTGTGCAAATAAATGGTAGGCTGACAGCAACCACCATTCTGTGTTGAATGTAATCGCACATGGATCGATTTCCTGCAGTTAGGGACAGATGACCGTCCCCGAATGCAAGCTGCCTGCATCCAGGGGCAACCATCTGTCCCTAACTGCATGTAATCGTTTCATGTGTGATTACATCCCATCACCAGTGGACAGCTGCTCCTGCATCATTTCTTTTCCACAGCCACCCGTGAATTCAGCTGCAGGAATCCAATGGATTCTTGCTTCAGATGGCAATAAAAGACTGTGAATGAGGCCTTATACAAAATAATAAATGACACATAGGAGAACTTAACAAAAAACATCTGTCGAAAAATACTTGTTTATTCCACTCCTGGCAAAGATCCAACTCTGACTGATGATGACTGGGACTGGGACGGGGGGGGGGAATAAAGCAATATATTCTGGATCCCCCTATATCCTGGTAATATCAGTTAAGGACAGATTAATGCAGCTCAAATTCCTGCATTCAGCGTATTATACCTCTCAAAGTCTCTGATTTACCCTACACAGCCTGCATGATGCCTTAAGTGTACACAAGAGATGGGTACGTTCCTACATGTTGCATGGTCCTGTCCCTTTATTCAGGGCTTCTGGAGAGAAGTGGTGGCAGATATCAACACAGTGGGAGGTCTGACAATGGCGGTGGACCCACTGCTACTCCTGTTGGGGATATACGACACGGTGGCTAATACTACTCATAAAAAAAACTTTCCGCGTTCTACGCTGCTTTTTATGCTAGATAGGCTACTATCTCTAAATGGAAACTAATAGAACCCCCTACGGTCTCCCAGTGGATATCCATGACCAGTTCAACCTTGCCCCTATAAAAGCTCATAAACATGGGCTGAAAATGCCCTAAAAACTTTGACAAAACCTGGGTTGAAAGGGTGGAGGCTAGAGACCTAACTCTCTGATACTTTGCTACTGTGATTTTATGGCATTTCCTTGCTAGACCAAAGTTCACCTACTGGATAGAAAAATGGTGGGCAGGAATCTGGGATCTTTGTACTTCTGATACAATGTACACCGAGTGAGGGTTTTCTGGGACCCCTTTATGCCAAATGCTGATGTGGCGTAATTCCACCCTCCTTCACTTCAGCCCCACCCCCACCTCACTTGTTAGACCAATGTTTACCTACTGGATGGAAGAATGGTGGGCAGGAGTCTGGGATCATCTCTCTACTTCTGATCCAATGTACACAGAGTGAGGTTTTCTGGAACTTCTTTATACCAAATGCTGATCTGGTGTAATTCCCCTGCCCCCTCCCACATGTACCCTTCACTTTAACTCCACCCCCCTTCCTCCCTTCCCTATACTCCCTTCCCAAACTTTTGTAGGGATGACCTTGCTGTTGACATGGTACTCCTCTGTCCTTGTTGTAGCTCCTACGGATATATACTTTGGAATGGTCTGCTGCTAATGTATATATCTATACATCTCCTGATATTTCCCAGCAAACCATGTACCTTACTGTAACTCCTACTGCTCTGTGCTGTGGAATGACTTGCCAAAGATGTACACGTCTATGTATATCCTGATATTTCCCAGCAAACCATGTACCTTACTGTAACCCTACTGCTCTGTGCTGTGGAATGACTTGCCAAAGATGTATACGGCTATGCATATCCTGATATTTACAAGCAAACCATGTGCCTTATTGTTAAATGTTGCTACTTTGTATATGTTCTCTAAACATGAATAAAAACTATTCTGTTCAAAAAAATTAAAAAAAATACTTGTTTCCCTATTCACCTCTGGGACCACGTTTCATGTTACACCCAAAAATTTAGTGCCAGTCCACATATATGTGGATTGGATGCAGTTTGAACCACATCCCATCTGCATGACATGTGAAAAACATTGCTTCCTATGGTGCCTGTTAACATACCGTATGTCCAATGCACTGGCAGTGCAGATACAGCACGGTTTGAAAGAGAATACAATTTCTGAGCAGAGCCTTCACGTTCAGGTGCGGATTACAAGCGGTTGACTTCCATGTGAACCATTTCTAAACCGCATATGTGTGAACAGGATAAGATCATGGGCTAATCCTGTCCTGAACCTGAAGTAAACCTGACATAAACCGCTGAACGACTATTGTATCTATTAGCTGTGAAACCTGAGCTTCAATCCGCACCACATATGTGAATCAGCTCTAAAGGTGGGAATAGACGATTAGAAAATCAACCAATTGGTCATCCGACGACCGAGGTCTTCGTTTCGTTGGTCGAAATCGTGGCCCCATTAACCAATCTAAAAAAATTGTTCTGCAGTCAATACATAGTGTTGACGTCTTCTGTACAAGTGGAAGTGATGCAGTGTGGGTGTGACCTTGCAGCCACGCCCTTCCGCCCAGAATGAGCGATATACACAATTAACAGCATTGAGTATAATATCGTTTATTACATTAACTATTATTATTATACAGGATTTATATAGCGCCAACAGTTTGATCAGCGCTTTACAATATAACTATATACATAAATAGTGATACATAAAATATAATCTGCAGAATTCTGCTTTCATTATCTCATTAGGCCAATCTACTTTTAACATTTGGATTTTTCGTTCGTGTTTACGAAGATTCCTTGGACATAAACATCCGGGTCATCTTCTGTTTCCGCTCATGCGTGATAGCGCTCGATAGATTTTTTTCGTGCGACCGTCATACCACCGCATAGAAAATCGGTCGTTTGTATGCGAAACAACATTTTTCACCGTTGTTCAATCGGATTTTTTAGTTCACAATATCATGATCGGTTAAAACATCCTGCTCATCAATGAAGAGAAAATCCTTCGATCAGTGGTTCTGCGACATTTTTCGTACGATTATCTTATCGTGTGTACGGGGCATTAGGGTGGTGTCAGTAGCGACTGGCCCATGCTTAGCAGGCTACTGGAAGGCAATATAATGTCTATAACATGCCTGTTTGAAGAGGAATTTCATAGTGAAATCTTCACCAGGCTGCAACCATGTCCACTGGACACAGCTCTGGTGAAACCCCATTCACCTCCATGGGACTTGGTGGCAGGATGAACTGCCTGCTGTGCCTGACATGCTGCCCCCCCCCCTTTTTTATGCTGTGGTAATGTATATGGAATGGTCTCGCGGTCAGTGCCTGGTTTTATAGGCACCTGAGGGGCAAGTTAAAAGTGCCTCTCAACTGCCTGTTTTTGCCGCCTGACAGTATTTTTGTGAAAGGGGTATGGTGCACATGGAAGGGCTTTACACAACAGGCTCAGAGAGGCATGCTGACAGTAGAGGCATCGAGGGCCACATAGGGACAGCCAAACAGTTGGATGTGGCCCTAGGGCCGCAATTTGTCCAGATCTGCACTATTATGTAGGTTGTGACTGTCTGAACTACAGGGGGATAAGATGATGTTGACGGGGACGAAGGGTACCTGCGTCATTACTCCTAATTGACAAGCTAGCCATTCATTAGCTGGCCACACCTAGTCCTGCTCACTACATTTTGGATTGATAGCACTGCCACTGTGTAATTTTTCTGGAAAAGAGATCAATGCATGCATGTGCAGAGAAAGTGGAGTTTGGAAAAGTGGGGTTCAGTAGACTGGCTGGGAGGGCTGACAACAAAAGTTGGGATTTCAGTGAAGTAGGGAATCTGTGTTGTCAGCCCAAACAGGACGTTAGACGCTCACTTGATTTTCTGGCAGATCAACAGGCATTTTTCTGTAATTGCATATTGTTTTTTAAAGAGATGTAACATGAGGAAATATGCATGAATTGCAGATGAGGAACAGAATGTATTCTCTCTTAAGAAGAGGAGATTAAGGGGGGAAATGATCTCCATGTATAATACATAAGGGGGGATATGATCTCCATGTATAATACATAAGGGGGGGGATATGATCTCCATGTATAATACATAAGGGGGGATATGGTATAATACATAAGGGGGGATATGATCACCATGATAATCATAAAGGGGGATATGATCTCCATGTATACTACATAAGGGGGGATATGATCTCCATGTATACTACATAAGGGGGGATATGATCTCCATGTATAATACATAAGGGGGGATATGATCTCCATGTATAATACATAAGGGGGGATATGATCTCCATGTATAATACATAAGGGGGGGATATGATCTCCATGTATATAAGGGGGGATATGATCTCCATGTATAATACATAAGGGGGGGATCTCCATGTATAATACATAAGGGGGATATGATCTCCATGAATACATAAGGGGGATATGATCTCCATGTATATACTACATAAGGGGGGATATGATCTCCATGTATAATACCTCCATGTATAATACATAAGGGGGATGTATAATACATAAGGGGGGATATGATCTCCATGTAACATAAGGGGGGATATGATCACCATGTATAATACATAAAGGGGGATATGATACTCCATAAGGGGGGATATGATAATGTACATAATACATAAGGGGGGGATATGATCTCCATGTATAATACATAAGGGGGGATATGATCTCCATGTATAATACATAAGGGGGGATATGATCTCCATGTATAATACATAAGGGGGGATATGATCTACCATGTATAATACATAAGGGGGGATATGATCTCCATGTATAATACATAAGGGGGATATGATCTCCACATGTATAATACATAAGGGGGGATATGATCTCCATGTATACTACATAAGGGGGGATATGATCTCCATGTATAATACATAAGGGGGGATATGATCTCCATGTATAATACATAAGGGGGATATGATCTCCATGTATAATACATAAGGGGGG